GTCTGAGGGGGACACTTTAGAATTGGCATGGATCCTCTCTCAGGTAATTTATAGTGCTTGATATGATACTGGTTTACTTTGTAATAAACATCTTATACAAGGAAGACAGTGTCAGTGGAGTCTCCTTCATCATCTTCACATCATCGCTACTTAATAAACGACAACCTCCAAGTGTTTTAGAGGAGAAACCTGCATGACTGAGTCAGGTTTGCAATATAAGGAATGAATGGCCATCTACAATGACATCAAGGCTTTGTCCATCTTCAGATGGAATGGCCAATAACTGCTCAAAGGAAATGGCAAGATCATGGGACCCAGGGATGTATAGCAGCTCCTTGCTGGAATTCACCATCAGATGGTGAACTGCAATCCATGACTAGATGTCAGGCAGACATGCCTATATGCAACTGAAAACCTAAGTGCCAGAAGGTGGAAAAGATTAGTTTAGAATCATCTGCATAGCAGTGATATCAAATGCTATTGATAGGATGTTACACTGTTAAAACATCAAGTGTAAAAGAAAAAGAAGAGGACTCAGCACAAAGCTTCGTTGAACAGACATATGAAGAGTTTACATGCAGCGGATGTGAACGCCATTAATGTTACCTAATAAAAACATCCCTCCAGGTAAGACTCAATCCAGATCCATGCAAAGGCGGTAATTCCAATGTTGGTGAGAACAGACAGGAGATCAAAAAGAATCAGGACTGTTGAAAGTTTATCTGAACTTCCTGTGTGGAGCTTCTCCACCTCTGCTACAAGAGAAGACTCTGTAGAGTGCATTGGTTTGAAAACAGACAGGCCGGGTTACTTTAACTGGTTCTTAGAGGGAATTAAAGATTGTTGATTGTAGAAAACTCATGAAAGACTTTGGGAAAGGAAAGAAAGGAGAGATACCAATAGCCGCTGTTGTCAGAGCTGTCTTGAGTGGTCTTCTTTAGAATGGGTACCACTCTAGCAGTCTAGATGGCAGATGGTACCCAACTTGATGTCCAGAAGCTGTTTGTGTTAGAGGTGATTAGGAATAATAGACTGCAAGATTTCACATGTCTGGAGTGTTGTATATGGATGGGGTCCATGGGGTTCTGTGGTCAGGTGTTGGGATTACTGTGTGTTACAGCAGAGTTCAGAAACGAGGATCTATATAACATAACTTCGTATAAACCCTGAACTTTTTTCTTAGCATTTCACATGAATCTGTGACTTACAGAGTTGAATACAGCTCAATGGCTACCAGAGTAAATGGCGTTACTCCAATTTAGCTTGTATGCACACTAGACAGGGCCAGCCTTAGCTTGAAGCTGAGGCTTGCCCTTCCCAGAGTGTGCTGAGCTGCTGAGATCCTGAATCAGAGCACAAATCATTGCCAGAGATCTTTAAGAGTGTCACACCACTGAAGAAAACTATAACTGTACAAGTCAGTATTGTATTGCTAACCTCTCTAAATCTTGGCAGTTACACTCAAAAAGGCTATCAACATTTATATGTATGCAAAATAAAGAAACAATTATTTTCTATCAGAGTAAATACTAGCTAGTGCTTGTTGGTCTGTGACAACAATGAGGCTTTTGGATATATATTCTAGAAGGAAATGAGGAATGAGTGTGCCTCTTAGCCCCACACCTGATTAGTGATTAGTGCAGCTAGCTATAGCTATATTATTCAGATGGTCCAGGCTATGAAATACAACCAACTGAGATCTTAACCCATAGAAGCCAGACTCTAACCATCACTTATGTGATATACCACCACTGGTGATTCTCAACAGAGGTGCTTTCAAGGAAGCAGATAAAGAGGTTCCTGAGTCTCTCACGGATGGCTACTTCCAGGGGCTACCTGAAAGATCCTGAAGATCTCTAGCAAAAGCAGAGCGAGCAGACCAGCCAGCAGGGCCAAGCCCACTGACATCCAGTGCAAATATTTCAGTACAGACTCCATTCTGAGAGAAATGCAGGAGAGCACAGTTGCTCAATCCTTTTAACCAGGAGTGGAGAGGGGTGAGAGAGATTTTTTTGATAACAAAAAATCTTTGATAACTTTTACCATTTCCAAAGAGTTGCATCATGATAGGCATGACCAGGGAGAAGTTCATACCAAAAAAATAACAAAACAAACAAAACATTTGCAGCTGTTGCAACATCATAAACTTCTCTGTACACAGAAACTGACAACTGAGGTAACTGTTACGTCAAACTCTTGAACAGCAGTTCTTTTACTGGTTCTCAGGGCTCCCCGCACGGTCTGGATTTTTGCTTGCATTGCAAGTTGTAGAAAAAATGTGGACTGTATTGAGGAACCTGCAATTTGAAAAACACTATTCTAGAAAATAAATGTAAGTAAAATGTTTAATTGGTGTAGAACATTTATATGATTTTGGAGGTTCCTTACACCTGAAAACTGTCCATTTTATTAACCATATTAACACGAACCTACACATCTTCTGTTTTCTGCGGTGTAAATGGCAGTGAAGGCATCTTGCTTGATTGACTGATTGACTGATTGTTTAACTGATTGCATTGTTATATAAATGGTTAAAAAGTAGTAAATCTTAATCATTTTATTTTAGGGACTATTTTACTTCACCATGATCTGCATGTACCACCATCAGATGGTGAACTGCAATCCATGACTAGATGTCAGGCAGACATGCCTATATGCAACTGAAAACCTAAGTGTCAGAAGGTGGAAAAGATTAGTTTAGAATCATCTGCATAGCAGTGATATCAAATGCTATTGATAGGATGTTACACTGTTAAAACATCAAGTGTAAAAGAAAAAGAAGAGGACTCAGCACAAAGCTTCGTTGAACAGACATATGAAGAGTTTACATGCAGCGGATGTGAACACCATTAATGTTACCTAATAAAAACATCCCTCCAGGTAAGACTCAATCCAGTTCCATGCAAAGGCGGTAGTTCCAATGTTGGTGAGAACAGACAGGAGATCAAAAAGAATCAGGACTGTTGGAAGTTTACCTGAACTTCCTGTGTGGAGCTTCTCCAACTCTGCTACAAGAGAAGACTCTATAGAGTGCATTGGTTTGAAAACAGACAGGCCGGGTTACTTTAACTGGTTCTTAGAGGGAAATAAAGATTGTTGATTGTAGAAAACTCATGAAAGACTTTGGGAAAGGAAAGAAAGGAGAGATACCAATAGCCGCTGTTGTCAGAGCTGTCTTGAGTGGTCTTCTTTAGAATAGGTACCACTCTAGCAGTCTAGATGGCAGATGGTACCCAACTTGATGTCAAGAAGCTGTTTGTGTTGGAAGTGATTAGGAATAATAGACTGCAAGGTTTCACATGTCTGGAGTGTTGTATATTTGATGGGGTCCATGGGGTTCTGTGGTCAGGTGTTGGGATTACTGTGTGTTACAGCAGAGTTCAGAAACGAGGATCTATATAATATAACTTCATTTAAACCCTGAACTTTTTTCTTAGCATTTCACATGAATCTGTGACTTACAGAGTTGAATACAGCTCAATGGCTACCAGAGTAAATGGCGTTACTCCAATTTAGCTTGTATGCACACTAGACAGGGCAAGCCTTAGCTTGAAGCTGAGGCTTGCCCTTCCCAGAGTGTGCTGAGCTGCTGAGATCCTGAATCAGAGCACAAATCATTGCCAGAGATCTTTAAGAGTGTCACACCCTGAAGAATACTATAACTGTACAAGTCAGTATTGTATTGCTAAACTCTCTAAATCTTGGCAGTTACACTCAAAAAGGCTATCAACATTTATATATATGCAAAATAAAGAAACAATTATTTTCTATCAGAGTAAATACTAGCTAGTGCTTGTTGGTCTGTGACAACAATGAGGCTTTTGGATATATATTCTAGAAGGAAATGAGGAATGAGTGTGCCTCTTAGCCCCACACCTGATTAGTGATTAGTGCAGCTAGCTATAGCTATATTATTCAGATGGTCCAGGCTATGAAATACAACCAACTGAGATCTTAACCCATAGAAGCCAGACTCTAACCATCACTTATGTGATATACCACTACTGGTGATTCTCAACAGAGGTGCTTTCAAGGAAGCAGATAAAGAGGTTCCTGAGTCTCTCACGGATGGCTACTTCCAGGGGCTACCTGAAAGATCCTGAAGATCTCTAGCAAAAGCAGAGTGAGCAGACCAGCCAGCAGGGCCAAGCCCACTGACATCCAGTGCAAATATTTCAGTACAGACTCCATTCTGAGAGAAATGCAGGAGAGCACAGTTGCTCAATCCTTTTAACCAGGAGTGGAGAGGGGTGAGAGAGATTTTTTTGATAACAAAAAATCTTTGATAACTTTTACCATTTCCAAAGAGTTGCATCATGATAGGCATGACCAGGGAGAAGTTCATAACAAAAAAATAACAAAACAAACAAAACATTTGCAGCTGTTGCAACATCATAAACTTCTCTGTACACAGAAACTGACAACTGAGGTAACTGTTACGTCAAACTCTTGAACAGCAGTTCTTTTACTGGTTCTCAGTGCTCCCCGCACGGTCTGGATTTTTGCTTGCATTGACCGATTGACCGATTGACTGATTGACCGATTGACTGATTGTTTAACTGATTGCATTGTTATATAAATGGTTAAAAAGTAGTAAATCTTAATCATTTTATTTTAGGGACTATTTTACTTCACCATGATCTGCATGTACCACCATGAATGGATTTTAAGAAGTAAAACTTAAATTAACATCGAAAAGCAGTGTGGTCCCTGAATCAGTGTGCATGAAAGAAAGTCCTCAATTTTTTGCAGATGAGTGAGATCTTAAAAGAGAAGTGGGTAAAATTCCTACAAGTTGATCGGGGGACTACAAAAGTCAGCAGCACCATTGTAAATTATGTTAGTCGTGGTCAATTCCCACCGAATATCATCCTCAATCTCACAATGCTACCAAGTCAGGAGGCTGAAAGCTTTGTGGCATGATATGTATATGGGTTTATATATACATGTGATGCAACATATGTGTGTGTGTTGTTGAAATGAAGATTCTCAAACTAATATCAAATAATCTGCTTTATTAACAAGAAACCAACACAACAAGCAAAGCAGACAGTGTAAATCTCAAGCAACCTAGCAAATGTTTGGGTAAAACTTCTTAAAGAATATTAGTAGTTATATAAAAAACACATATGCTACATAAAGTTATACAACCATTATTTATCTATTATGGAAATTGCATATATTTTAAACTGTATAAGACAGCTATAATGTATAATGCATAAAAAACTAACTACTGTGCTTATTATTTTGGTAGAAAATCATGTGCATTTATCCCAGGTTGGTCCTGGTAACATACATGAAGACAAGAAGTCTTCCAGGTCTAGTATTGATTGTTTACACAAGGAACATTTTGGGCACCCCTGGTTGATTTTTGATTTTGTAAGAGTGAAGAAGTTAATGTATCCTCTGCATGGAACAAATTTGACCCTGAAGATCAGGAGTTCAGCTCAAAGTCTTGTTCAATCTCAATCTTATGTGCCGAAAATAGTAACTCATAGGTTTCTTCTATGGGAAATCACCAGTGCTGCACCCTGTGATAAACAAATATGTTTAACAAAAATTGTTTGGCGTACATACATCCCCGATCATCACTCTACTCTCTGAATTACACAGTCATTAAAGAGTCAGAATTATACAATATTGCTACATACATGCTGAAACTGCTACACACTGCAAAATACAACAAAACAATACAAGCAGAATGAAATAAAAGAAAGTATGTCTCTCTTTTTTAAATCCTGTGGAGGTGGAAAATGATAGTTTTGGGACATGATCCAAGCTGCTGGCATTAATTCATTTGATTTTCAAACTTTCAAACTAGCTCTTTAGGTCACTGTTCACCAGCATTCCCTTCAGCCCAGAACTCTCACTGAGAGACCTGTCAAGAAATGAGTTCACTTATTAAAGCTGTGGTTTCAGTAACACTTCAGTGTAGGGGGACATTATAAGGCTTTTTAGCCTTATCAAGTGAGTAGCTGCTAATTAACTGTCTGCTTACTGCTACTTTATTAAGCAGTAAATAGATTGAATGAAGCACTTTTTTATTCATGTATTATACATTTCAAACTTTTGCATATTATTTTAAAGGTTCATTAATTTGCCTTTATTAAGCCTTAAAAGCAAGAATCCAGTAATCTCTCAATTCATTATCTGCTAATGACCCGGCTAATATGTTCAGTTGTCCTAATAATTGTAGTGAAAGTAGAAAAATACTTTATTAAACAGAAATTATGATCAATTAAACATTTTATAGAGCACTTTAATTGTATTTTAAACATTAAATACATTGTCCAACCTTTAACTGTGAGCTGGTGTCTATAAGGGGCTTATTTTACTTTTGATTCTTCTTAATTCCGCAGTAATAAATCATAAATGAAGAATCTTACATATATCTTTTCCATTTGTCTTGTCAGAACCTTTGTTTTGAAACTAAGAGGTTTGGGCCACAATATAATATTATAGAACTGGCCTTTTTCCTCAACATTCCTTTTAAACCATATAAGTCCTTTGTTTTGGTGGAATATCATGTATTGTACATTCACCACTTATTGGTCCTAGTAGAAAGAAAGAGCTTGATAATGTGTTCTTATTGAGATTGATTAGATGTGTTAATGAAGAGGAACTTCTCCTGGGGTGATGTTGTCCATTCACATGTAAAGGGCAAACTTGATTCAGTGAGTCGTCTCTCTGCTGCGGCAGATGGTACTGAAGGGGCACGGAGAACGAACCACGCCCACAGTGCCATCCATGTTTGGGCGTGGAGCTCCAGGAGGCCATGAGAACTTTAAGCGCTGGATCAGAGAGGTGAAGAAGATGAAAAGCTCTGTCTTTGCTAGAGACTCACCCAGACACACCCTCGGACCTGCAGGGACATGCATAAGGACAAATCATCTCAATGCAGAATCAGCAGACTTTCTGGTGGACCAATGATGTTTTGGGCCAGTTACTGTGGGCTTACATATACAGTGGTCACAAAAATTGTTTGGACACTTTAACCATTGGTTAAGTATAATGACGTTTTCTAGGTAACAGAATGAGTTGTTTCAGAGAAAAAGAGAGTCAGCAGTGCTGATGCTCATACAAATCTTAATGAATTGTTTTTCTGCCACTGTTGCACACGGACCCTCAGGTAAACATCATCAGCAGACTCACCCAAAGAGAACGGCAGAAAGGCGTCATTTCTGCAGAACTGTCCTTTTTCATCCAGAAAGTTTTCTGGGTTGAACGTGTCTGGATACTTCCAGTGCTGTTTGTCAGTTAAGATGGCGTTTAAGTTGACCATGATTATAGATCCCTGCCATGGGAAAGACAAACAAATACTTAACACATGTAATAATGTCAATTAAATGTCTTGAACAGTGGAGGTCCACTCAAAGTTTTCATTGAGAAAAGAGACTATAAATATAGTTATAATATATAAATATATAAGATATAAATATAAATACAGACAATTTGTGAAAATATGCAAGACCGCAAAAAATGCTAAAAGTTGTGCAATGACATTTCAATAAGTCTGGCCCAGATAATCTGAAAACTTGTATTGATTTGTTGCATTTAGTATCAGTTTCTCTATTTTGTATTTGTAAGCTTCATCTTGTTTTCAAGCCACAAAAAATATTATCTTTTTATAGTTTAATTTACTTGAACTTTGTGTCATGTTTGTGGCAAAGCCTGTTGTTGTAGATCCCTGTTTCTGTGGTTAAAGATCCATTCATACTTCCATTGATTCAGTCTCCCATCCATTAAGACATCCATACATTCAGCCTGTCTTACATTCAAATGTCTATACATTCAGCCTGTCATGTATTCAGCCTACAATGCCTATATCCCTTCATCACCTTGGGAAGGTGGTATCCTCGTAGCAGTGCTGGGTCAGTGGTTTGGTGAATCAGGCCAAGAGGAGTGATGCTAGCACAGCGCTGGATTTCATAAACAGTGGCGTAAGTGTATGGGAGCTGTGTGCGGTCTTCCATGCAGGGAGAGCGGTCAAAACCCAGCACCCGAATGATCTCCTCATGGCAGCGCTCTGACGTGGTCATAAGACAAAAGAAAAAAAAAGGGGAAAAAAAAAATAAGTGATACTACAGGACATACAAGATATAACAGTGTTCTAATTGGGTCATTAACCTATTAGTAAAACAAAAATATCAATTGAAAATGTAAAGTAACAAAAGGAATAACAAGCCTTACACCACGCCTAGCGTAAAAATGAGATCAGATCAATGATATTGGTCACCAACAATAGTACCTTGCACGTCAGGGTGGTCCATCATGTAAACGAGGCCCCATCTGAGGGTGGTCGCTGTAGTTTCCGTCCCAGCTACGAACAGGTCGAGGACTGACTTCATCATGTTCTCCACATGGAATGTAGAGTCTTCCTTTGCCTCTTGCTGCTCAACAAAAGAAAAGTTTAAATTCTGTTACTCAGAGCTACCAAAGGATACTGAAGGCTGCTCAAATGATTGATTCTGTATAATCTACAGTAGAAAACTTCAACTCCGCTGTCCCCACATTGTCAACCTGAAAATAATGCTTGCAGAAAATGCTCCACACCAGTCGTCTCAGTGCACAGATAATTAGGTCTACTGGATGAGTTACTGTAAAGTGCAGTTAGGGTCTCTCCATTCTCTACACTGCACTCAAAACAAGGAGCATCTCACCTTGGTCATCTGGATCAGGTAGGCATCAGTGAAGTCCCGGGGGTTGTCTGGATCCAGAGTCTTCTTGTGCTCCTCCACAATTTCAAGGATAAATTTATTTAAGGCTTCGACATTATTCCATATCTTCTGATGTGGCCCTGGAAAGTGTTTTATAATTGGGACCAAGTTGAAGATCTGAAGAAAAAAAAGGAACAACTGACATTATATTTCATCCTTTAGTTTAAGCACTTTAAGCACATCATGACAGGATTTTTTGTCATTGTGTAATTTCATTGTGGAATTAAAAAAGACCTGGAATTAATTTAGAAGATAAATTGTACTGTGTTGGGCTCTGATGGTTTTTCTACATGATCTGTGAAAATGAATGACTTGGAAAGGTTCTGGTAATCACCTGCGCCGTAAGTGTTCCTCCAAGCCGAAAGTTTTCATTCAGAATTTCTAGCAGCTTAGCAAAGCGCTTGTCGTCGTACTCGAAGCGGTCTCCAAAGATGATGGAGCAGATTATGTTGGAAACTGCATTCATGAATTGGTGGATGGGATAAAAAGGCTTCCCTTCAAGAAGAATTGGAGAATAGTGTGTTTGATTAGAGAAAAGACATAAAGACAGAACAATGACCATATGAAATGTTTATGAAATGTCATGTAAATGAAAAAAAAGGTCTCTTGTCTTACTATCAGTAGGATATTTAAAATATTCATCAGATTCAGTATTACTGAACTCCAGTGTAGTAGTCTGATAGGCATAATTGAGCTCATTAAACATTACCTTGTCCATGTTGATTTGAACAAATATTCATTCAAACTGTCATTAGTCTGTAATTTACTCTAAAATAAACTATTGACTAAAACTATTTGAATAAATACTAATTTCAAATGACAGACAACATAATATAGTAATTCTAGTGCTGCTCCCTGCCATTGTAGTTGTACATCATATAAAGATAACCCGACCACAGAACTGTGCCACAGGCATACACAGTGACTCGTCACCTACCTTCTTGTTTGAGCATCTCCTTGATGAGGTAATGCGCCTCCTCAGCCACACGTTCCTCCACAGTTTTCCTTCCCAGACCAAAGTCACGCAGTGTGTGCAGAGCGAAGCGGCGCTGCTGCCTCCAAGAGTGACCATAATTGGCCAAGATGATACCTGAGAAAGGCAGAGAGAGGTAAAAGGAGATAATAAGGCAGAGATGGTTGGAAAGGGTGTAAAAAAATTGTATAGGAGGATGTATCTTTCCCTGGAGAAGGAATAGCACACATTTTTTTTTTCATTTTCATCAAAAAATAAAGTACAAGTAGCAGTACATGTAATCAAACAAGTATATCAACATGAGTCATGCCCTACTAACCATAGCCTTTGGTGATCCATGCTTGTAAAGGCAGAAGCGGCCTCCCAGAAAACACGGTCCCATTCTGAACAAAAGCTTCCTTTGCCAGCTGCATGTTGTTCAGTATGATCGTTGGCTTCCTGCCCAGGTATATGGAGCACATCTCACCATATTTCGGCAACTAAAGGGATGGAGAATGTTTACATTACCTACAACTTTGGAATGGACAAGTGTATGTGCTGATGCAACTGTCTCCACATTTGGTTGCAGATGTGTTTTAAGTGAATTCTAGTCTTTTCACAGTTCAACAGCTTTCTCTGTTCTAATAAATCTGAATTGATTCATCACAGTTATACCCAGCCATTACCATGTCTTGGGATGTCTTAAGACATGTCTAAGACACATTATGAAGATGTCTTAGGACATCTTGAGGCATGTCTTAAGAAATGTAGATAAATTTTATGTATTTTAATTTTTTTTTTAAAAAATTAAAAAAATATTTTTAAAGATATTTAAAAGTAAAAATAAATATTATGCATCCTACATTTTGAGACATCTTGGGATGTTATTATATCTAAGACATCTTAAGATCTGTGTCTATAGACATGTCTTAAGGACGTCTACATAAATGGTATCATTTATTTTAATATATGTTGTATATTATTTTATAAACAAACATATATTAAAATAAATGATACCATTTATGTAGACGTCCTTAAGACATGTCTATAGACACAGATCTTAAGATGTCTTAGATATAATAACATCCCAAGATGTCTCAAAATGTAGGATGCATAATATTTATTTTTACTTTTAAATATCTTTAAAAATATTTTTTTAATTTTTTAATTCTATGTAGGATGCATGTTATGGTTTATTTTCATATATATTATTTTATGTATTTATATTATTTTATAAACATACAAACATTACATACATTAGTACATACTACAGTGATAAATTTCAGAACAAATTTATGAATAAAAGTAATAATAATAATAATAGGCACATGGTTTCCAGTCTGTAACTTTCTCTACAATGAACCATTTTATATCAAAATAATATATAAAATTATATCAAAGTTTATATCAAAACATTGCTTATATCGCAATGACGGAATTATGGAATTATGGAATCAGTGATACGATAACAATGTATTTGTAATTTACAGTAATGTAATGTAAAGGGGTATGGAATATCACTTTATATGTTCTACAGCCAAGGAAAAACATGTTAACTGCCTTTGTATAGAAATTTGGAATATACTGCAATAAAAACACAGTTCCACAAACCAATAACTCAGATTTTAAGGTCTGCTGTTATTCCCCGTATAAGTCATTAGCAACGCAGTACTATGATCAATGATAAATCATTGGAAACAATTTTAAGCCAAATTCATATGGACTGAAAAGAAAAACTGACCAACAGAGTAATACAGAGGTCTGAACCCCAGCAGCACTCATAACATACCCGAGCCAGGTAATGATCAGCTGTCAAACACTTTTCTTTGTGTACTAAATGCGTGAGTTGATTTTAGATGGGTAAACATATGTATACTGTCCATTATATTCTACTTACAAAGGGAATATATAATGCTTTCCCTTTCATTTATTATGTTATGTAGCTTTTTGTGCGTGTAAGATACAAAGCTGAAAGTATATGCCAGAGGGAGAAACTCTCTCCCACAGAACCCACTCTTCTCAGCTGCCTGAGGGCTGGAGTTCCCTTTTCCTTTGTTACAAGATGATGTAATCCCATAACACAATCCTTATTGCCCACCTACCAGCGAGCTCAGCACGCCCTCACACAATGCAACGCATCTGCTGGAGGCCGTGTATTGGTGGAACTGCTCTGGCGCTGGATCAGTCAGAACCAAGTGAGCGAGCTGACTAATCTGAGCGTACTGGGCTCATCAGGAAGGAGGGGCTTAAAGACACTGGAGCTCAAACAGAGCGTTTCAGACAGAGGGTGAGTAGAGATTTACAGTATGAGAAAAATAATGTGTTTCTGGAACACTGAAGCATGTAAATGTATTATAGTCGACCCCAAAAATAAATTTATGAACACTGGAAATTGGCATAATAGGTCCCCTTTAAATTCAGCCTGCTTGTGTACGCAGATCCAAAAGTAATTTCAAATTTATTGTCTTAAAATCGATTTTTTAACAGATGTATTTTCCTCATAACTCTGACAAAGAAGAGTAACACAAAAAACCGAGGAAGAAGCGATGGGCTGTGAATCTGACAGTTCTCTCACTCATCACGGATTTAACTCTGAAAGGAGAGATCGGTAACATTAGCAGTGTGATATCAGTAATGTTAGTGTTCAGGCATTACGGCATGGACATATGCACATTGAGTTATCTGTGTCCTGTGTCCTGTGTCCACATATGTCCACATAAAATGTCCACAGCTTGGCTCTATTCCAGCTCCCAGCACATCTGAGTCTGGTATTAATTGTCTGGTATTAATTGTTTGACAGCTGATCATTATCTGGCTCAGGTATGTTAGGAGTGCTGCTGGGGTTCAGACCTCTGTATTACTCTGTTGGTCAGTTTTTCTTTTTAGTCTATATGAATTTGTCTTAAAATTGTTTCCCATCATTTATAATTGTTCATAGTACTACGTTGCTAATAACTTTAGCATAACTTATACACTGAATAACAGCAGACCTTAAAATCAGATTCATTGGTTTGTGGTGTTTTTATTGCAGTATATTTCAAATTTCTACACAAAGTCAGTTAACATGTTTTTCCCCGTCTGTAGAACATATCAAGTGTGATGACGCTATTGTACTGTGCATATACACAGTTGTAAAAACAATAAACAATAACTGTAATCTATATTTTTTGAAAGTTCTGTGGGTGCTTTTTCATGGGCTATGCTTTGGATTGCAGAGTAAATTATTTGAATGTAGACGTATTCTGAATTTTTGACAGATTAATAAGGAAATACAAAACTGTAAAACAGTGATTTCCCTTACCCCTTACTCCTTACATTACTGAAATTTATGCATACTTATTATTGTTCTTGTTCTCCTTCTTCTTATTATTATTTTAAAAGTTGATAAAATGATACCTTCATTAAAAGATGAAGCAACTGTAAAATAGTAATGAAAAAAAATGTATTTTTAACACATTTTTACCACATTTCTTAAAACATTAAGGGTTAATTACTGTAAAAAGGTATTTAAAAGCACTGAATTACATTTTTAAATTTTGCAGCAATGCTGTATTACAAAATAGTTGCATAAGAGTTTTCCCTCATACTACCACCATGTTGAAGGCATGGTATGAACTCACAAATAAATTTTCACTGAGTCCATAAGCTTTTCTAATGCAACGGAAACATTTAAAGGGGAATTCCACATTTTTCTAAACTTGGCATAATTCTGTCATTGCAATGTGAACAAAGTCATTTAGGGGTTTCAAATAAAATGGCTCATTGTAGAGAAAAACTGGGAACCATGTGCCTATTATTATTATTATTATTAATATTATTATTATTATTATTATTATTATTATTATTTTGTTAAATTTGTTCTGAAATTTATAAGTGTAGTTTGTACTAATGCATGTAATGTTTGTTTATAAAATAATATACAACATATATTAAAATAAATGATACCATTTTGCATCCTACATAGAATAAAACTATGTAATAAAATAAATTAAAAATATTAATTACTAGAATATTTGCTATAAATAATGTTACGTTTTAAAATTCCCTTAAAAATATTTTAAGGGAAATACGCCTCAAGATGTCCTGAGACATCTTCATGATGTGTCTTTAGACATATCTTAAGACATCCCAAGACATGGTAATGGCTGGGTATGCAGAGGAATGCGTGACACTGTCTCAGTGATGAGGAGAGAAGGCTGCATAACTTCTCCTTGTGGAAGTTATTAAATGTCTTGTAAAAGGTCTATGGAACCACGTTGAGCACATCAGGATAAACAGTGGAAGAAAGGTAGCAATTGGTTGCATGAACTATGGTGAACTTTGCATTCCACAGCCTGAATTCTAGATACAAATATTACCCTTATTGTAAGTGAAAAATTGCATGTGTTGCATGTTAAAATGCAGAATGCAAAACTAAGAAAGCCCAGCACTAAACATCTGGCAGACACCACAACAGGACCCATAGTAAGTTTCCATGGCTATATTTAATTACAGTATTTTCAGCTTAAAAGTGAGTTTCAAAAAGAGAAAAAAATATCAGTCTGATGTGTGTAAGTGAATATGCCACTGCAAATAAAAGGAAACTGACCAATCTGATGAAGGCCATTCGATCCTTTGAAAACTGGGGCAGGTTACCCACGAAGGGCAGTGGTTTGGGTCCAGGGGGGCTTCGGTTCCTGGAGGAATTCCACCTGAACATCTCCAGCAGAAGCAGAGTGAGCAGACCACCCAGCAGGGCCAAGCCCACCGACGTCCAGTCTAAATATTTCAGCACAGACTCCATTCTGAGAGAAATGCAGGAGAGCACAGCTGCTCATACCTTTATACTAGAAGTGGAGCTGGCAGAGACAGAGAGAGAGACAGAGAGAGAGAGAGAGAGAGAGAGAGAGAGAGAGAGAGAGAGAGACAGAGAGAGAGAGAGAGAGAGAGAGAGAGAGAAACAAACAAACAATTTTTTCACCTTTTCCATATAACTGCGTCACGATGGGCGAGACTAGTTAGAAGTTCATACCAGAAAATATGTCTTGTAATCTTACCTGTTAGGAGGTCAGAGAGCTTCCAGTGTAATAAGGCACTGCAGACAAAGTTCAGGAACAAACAAAACATTTGCAGCTGTTGGAACATCATAAACTTCTCTGCATACAGAGACTGATAGCTGAGTTAACTGTTCCCCTACACTCTAGAACAGTGGTTGTTATATTGGTTGTCTCCTCAGACAATCCAGAATTTTGCTCTTATTGCAAGTTGGAATAAAATTGAGAAAATTAAGATAAATAATTCTTGAAGATATGTAAGCAAAATGTTTAATCAGCATAGATACTTTAGATTTTGTGGAGGTTCTTTAACCATAAAAACTGTTCTTAACTCCACCAAACTTACAAAGTTAATTATAATTCAGTGGTTGAGATGTCATTGAGATTTCTTTACAGTGCTGGCGAAAGGAATCAGGGGTCACAACATCTACAGTGCAAATAAAGCCATTTTATTAATATCCACAATGACCAGTGAATCTAAACACGCCCTCTGACTTTTCTGTCTTCTGCAGTATAAATGGCAATAAAGACATCTTGATTGTTTGACCGATTGACTGATTGATTATCAGATTCATTTGTTACATAAATGGTTAAAAAGTAGTAAACCACCATGGGTGATGGATGTAAAGTAGAAAAAAAGTAAAAAAAAAAAAAACATACAGCGGTAAACAAATTGCCAGCAGACACCTTTAGGTCAGGGTCAGGGGCCCCTTCCAGTATAGAAATAAATCTATGGACCACAACAGATTCTTTCTATTAATTAAAAAATCCAAATAATCCAATGATTTATATATTCAGCACATCAGGCAAATTTGTACAATCATATTTATTGGTAAAAGTAGGTGCTCTTCTTCAATTTCATGTGGCTTTTTTGCTTTTAGTAATCTGCTGAGCTACTAAATGTAAAGCCCTCAGCCACAACTCAAAAGTTGTGTCCAGACTCAATTTAAATATTTTACCTTGGCTTGACAACCTGAGAACCACCTGAAACACTACAGTAATAATCAATCAGCAGTCAATGTAACGTGTGACGTTAATGACAAGGGGTGGCAAGTATTGAAGCACAAGTACTTTGTTACTGTTCTTAAATCATTTTTGAGGTATTTATACTCTACTTCAGTAATTCTGTCACTTAATACTTTTTACTTTTACTCCGTTTAAAAGAAAATCTGTGCTTTTTACTCACTACATTTTCAAAACAGGCTTGTTACTTTAGTTTTAATGATTAATTTATCTATTTAATGTCTTTCCTTAATTTTTTAATCAACCAATTGTATAAGAGCACCTAATTAAGTGCAAATCGGCTCCCTACTGGATGTGAAGCTGGGGAAGGGGGAGGGAGAGCAGAGTGAACCCGTTACTGGCTACTTTGTGGCTTACATGCCCCAGCAGTTGACTTATTGTAACTGAGACTCGATAGAGACTAGATGAAGCTGAAGTTAGCTTTATTTCCCATTCCACCTTAAATGATGTAGCGGTTACATTCAGATGCCTGTATTACTTCAATTACTTTACTGCATCGAGTCATTACAGGTAAGACATAAATAAACCATAAACGTGTTTCAGGCCCGCCGTATCAATATTAGCCTACAATGATTAGGTTTAAGTGTTTAAGGTTGTTTTGTTCTTCCTTGGTTTCACACATCAGCTGGTTGATTTAACTTTCATGTTGTCTTCATTTGGAGCAGCACGGTTGCGCAGTGTCGCCTCACAGCAAGAAGGGCCTGGGTTTGATTCCCCGACCAGGCGACCAGGGTCCTTTCTGTGTGGAGTTTGCATGTTCTCCCCGTGTCTGTGTGGGTTCCCTACCACAGTCCAAAGACATGCAGGCAGGCTAATTGGGCACGCTAAATTGCCCCTAGGTGTGTGAGTGTATGTGTCTGTCTGTCTGCCCTGAGATGGGCTGGCAAACTGTTCAGGGTGTATCCTGCCTTCCGCCCACTGACCGCTGGGATAGGCTCCAGCTCCCCCCGTTACCCAGAAGGATAAGCGGCTTTGAAAATGTGTGTGTGTGTGTGTTGTCTACATTAGGGTCTGCCTGCCGTTGCAGTAACCTGTGACTGTGACTTCTTTAAATATCAGGTTTTAAGTTTGTATATCTTTAAATTTGTGGCTGCTGGGCTTTTTAAAAACGTTTTATCTGTCATCTTCTCTGTGTCAAAGTTGTGTCTGTGCTGACCGGAAGGTGCTGTGTGTTGTTTGTTTGTGTAAATCCAGATTTCTGATTGGTTGCTGTTGTTTTGTGTCAGGATGGAAGTGTTAGAATATGTGGGTTGATGGCTGCACTGATGTAGTGTGTGCAGTAGTGTGAAATTTGAGTGTAAAAACCTTTCACATACTAAATCACCCCCTTATCACACACATGCACACACTCCCTGTAGCCTATTCACTTTTATACACACACACATCACATGACCTGTAATGTCATTATTTCTGTCACTCTTCACCTGCATTCCCTTCAGCCCAGAACTCTCACTGAGAGACCTGATAACAGAGTTTATTTATTAAAGCTGTGGTTTCAGTAACAATTCAGTGTAGGAGACATTATGATAATCTTTTTAAGCCTTATAAAGCCAGTAGCTGCTAATTAACTGGTTGCTTATTACTACTTTATTAACCAATAACTTTTAAGGTTTTGCATATAATTTTTAGACGTTCATTATTATGTCTTTATTAACCGTTAAAAAGCCAGAATCCAATAACCTATCAATTCAATAACTGCTAATTAACCGGCTAATATTTTCAATAGTAATAATTGTAGTAGTAAAAGTAGTAAAATGTACTACTTTATTAGGCAGTAACTAAACACAAATAGATATTTTACAGAAACAATTTTATTGTTTATTTATAAAAAATCTTGTGCCTAAACTTTAAGAAGAAAGTAAGTACCTTATAGACCACAATAATCAGTATTGTGGTCTATAAGGTACTTACTTTCTTCTTAAAACCTCAATCATAAATCACAAATGTAGAATTTTAAATGTTTTATTCATTTTGATTGTCACAACTGTATTTTTTTAATTAAAACTGAAATTCAAAATTCATTTTGTACTTTATTTGTAGTTTATAGTTTAAGTTTAAATGAAAAACATTCCCAATTTTTAATGTGGTTCCAGATGTTTGGACTCCAGTGTAAGAATAAATTTGGCGTTTTTTTTTTTGTTTGTTTTGTTTTTTTTTGTTTTTTTATCAACATTCATTTTAAACAGTATAAGTTCTGTGTTAGGAAAAATGAATAAAAAATAACTATTGCGTCTATTAATATGGTGGAATGTCCTGTATGGGTACATTCATCGCTAATTAATTGTAGTGTGAAGAAAGAGCTTGATAATGTGTTTTTATTGAGATTGAATAGATGTGTTAAAGAAGAGGGAGTTGGGTCACCTGGGGTGATGTTGTCCTTTCACATGTAAAGGGCAAACTTGATTCAGTGAGTGGTCTCTCTGCTGCGGCAGATGGTATTGAAGGGGTATGGAGAACGAACTACGCCCACAGTGCCATCCATGTTTGGATGTGGAGCTCCAGGAGGCCACGAGAACTTCAGCCGCTGGAGCAGAGAGGTGAAGAAGACAAAGAGCTCTGTCTTTGCTAGAGACTCACCCAGACATACCCTTGGACCTGCAGGACACACAAACACACAAATCATCTCAATTCTGGATTGGTCAATCAAAGAATCAGGAGAATTTCCAGTGGACCAGTAATGTTTTGGGCCGGTTACTGTGGGCTAACATATACAGTGGCCACAGAAATTATTTGTACACTTTAACCTTTGGTTAAATTTAATGAATTTCTCTAGATTTTTTTCCGTTCATACTTTTAACAGAATCATATTTGTTTCAGAGAAAAAGAGTTTTAGCGCAACACCAAACTGATAGTAGACTCTTTGTGTAGAGAAAGATTGGAGAAGAATTCCAGCCAAACTGCACTAACAGTGTTTTTCCAATGAACATTCCAAAACAAGTTTTGACCTGAATGGAAACCAATGGGACTAAATTATGACACCAAATTCCTTTTACAAAGTAACAATTCTAAAAAACGCAATTCAAACACCAACATACCATTCTGCTTTACACTCTGGAGAGCTTATTGGTGACACAATTGTGCTTGGTGACTTTATCGTCATCTGTAAAGAGTTCACTAAATGGACATTGGCTTCAATTGCAAAGTGTTACCAAGGACAGAGGACAACACCCACCATTAGGGCCTGTAGGTACCAATCATAAACAGGTACCAAAAAAAAAACAAAAACTGGAACCTGTCTAATGAAAAAAGACAGTTACAGTTTTCTGCTGCCAAAAGTTCTGGTAATCTCTGAGAGGTGGAGATGTCAAATCCGGGAATGTTTGTCTTTCAATGATGTCAGTGATATGATCATAAAACTCAAGTACACAAAGGCATTTTGAATGCAAACCTACAGAATGTCCAAATACTTTTGGGGGCAACTGTATAAACCCACATATATGAACACAATAATGCTCAGACACTGGACTCTTCAAATGTAGTCTGGTTCTATGAGTTTAGGGCTGGTTGACGTATCATGAAGTGTCCTACAGTGTGAAATGTAGACAGGAACTTGAGTAGCTAATGCTTATAGCTTACTGACAATGTTTTTCATTCTTAAAAAACTTGAAAATTTAACACTGTGAAAACAACACTGTAATCCATTTGTAACAGCAATTACATCACCAGTAGTTACACTGTGGTTGCACGTATGGTTAACATTTAACACTAAATTTCTTAGAGACAAATAATACAACATTAAACCAACCAGCAGAATCATTCAGATTTGCTGGACATATTCAAGGCATCATTGCTTTTACAGTCATGTATTGGCTTTTGTTCAAACCTGAGCCTTTCCAGAACATTTACGCTAATTGTGCTTATCAAGGCTAGTGCAAGTAGATTACCACATCAGTCTTACTGAGACTTCAACTCTGGTGGGTTTTCATACTTCACACCTTCCCATTCAATGACCTATTTTTGGATCCAAAACACTAGAAAGTTTTTGTGTGGAATCTTAAAATTGAATAAATCATTTCTCTTCCCCAGGAGTCGGAATTCAAGTTGAGGCCAAAATCTCTGTAATTAAACATCTCTTCAACGTAGTG